ATAAGTTGCCCCTTCAGTGGAGTGGGAGGCTGAGTCAGGAGTGGCATGGCATCAGCTCTCATCAGAGTATGAGGAAGGCTGGGTTAAGCAAATACCTTAAACTGTGGAAGGGGCTTTGGAACTGGTAGAGGCTAAAAGAATTTTGAGGTTCATGTTAGACAAAGTCTAAATTAGCTTGAAGAGACTGTTGATGGAAATATGGACATTCAAGGTAATTCCAGTAAGGGCTCATAAAGCTTTCTATAGAGAAGGCTTCTATGGTCTTAGTGAAAACATGTATCATCATGAACAGAATGTTGGTAGAAGTATGGATGTTAAAGGTTTTGGTGAGCTCTCAGAGATGAGGAACATGTTATTGGAAAGTGGAGGAAAGGTGATCCTTGTTATACATAATGTGGCAAAGAACTTAGCTGAATTGTGTCCTAGTGTTGTGAAAAGCAGAACTTGTGAGTGATGAACTATTTAGCTGAGGAAACCTCTAACCAAAGCATTAAAGGTGTGGCCTGGTTTCTCCTTGCTGCTTATAGTAAAATGTGAGAGGACAGAGATAAACTGAAGGAGGAACTGTTAAGAAAAGGGAATCAGAACTTGAAGATTTAGAAGATTCTCAGCCTATCCCTATTGCAGTAAATGACAAAGCATGTTCTACTGAAACATCAGGGGTGTGGCTGGACAACCATTTGTGAAGTGGTTACTCGTGTAACACATGGACACAATCAACCATCTCTGTAGAAGCTGGAATAGAAATGTGGTTCCCCAGGAGGGATCCAGGAGGACTTTGCTTGATGGCTTGGAACCCTGTGAATTGCATGGGTCACCAACAAGGTTTTTGACAATTTTATACCAGCAGAAAACCTGCCAGGTTAGAATGAAGGAGACAAAGATGGGGTGAAATATAAAATACCAACAAAATGAACCGTAAATAACTGATTAAACTGACCTGGTGAGTCTGACTATAATATGGCTGTCCTCATGGCCAAGAAGCCTATGTGACTGGAACTCTGCCTAATGGATAACCTGAATGGAAGGTGCTATCTGACAAATTTGCTTCTTTTCCATAGTGGCTGATAAGTAACCTTTCAACCTTGTGTTTACTACCTTTGAGAACAAAAAAATAATTAACTTACAAATGCTTCTGTTTTCTGTAACAGCTCCTGCTTTTCTGTCTGTAGTTTGGTGATCTCAGAAGACTGTGAGTTTAACTGAGACTTTAATGTTGCCAGTTCCTAAGAGACAAAAATAGTTAAGCTGTAACATTAAATAGCATTAATTTCATCAAGGAAATGTCTATTTACAGGAAGAAATAAAAAATTATTTCCTTTCTTGGCCCTTCTCTCTAAAATCACAACTTCCAAGTTTTAAAATTTAAGTGGAAGAACTATTCTTGAACTTGGTGGGTTCAAGATGGAGAATTAAACGTGTAGATTAAACATGTTCACCTCTGCTTCCTTGTGAGATCCAATGTAAAAAATTATAAAGGGAGGGAGGAAGGGAACGAGAAAGGAAGGTGGGAAGGAGGTAGGGAGAGAGGGACGGAGGAAGGGTGGGCAGGAGGGAGAAACCCACAAGGACAGAGAGTAAAAGAAAAGAGCAATAAATTGGGGAATTTCAGAAAGCAAACGACAGGGGTAACTGACTCAGCACACGTGAGACAGCTGAAACGTAGGCTGACCTTTCAGAAAGCCATGCTGCTACCTGACTTACAATGCATAACTACCGAAGGGCCTGGGATGTTTTGGAAAGTGTGAGTAAAAATGGAGTCAAAAACAGCAGGGTTGGGCTTCCCTGGTGGCTCAGTGGTTGAGAGTCCGCCTGCCAATGCAGGGGACACAGGTTCGTGCCCCGGTCCGGGAAGATGCCACGGAGCGGCTGGGCCCGTGAGCCATGGCCGCTGAGCCTGCGCGTCCGGAGCCTGTGCTCCGCAACGGGAGAGACCACAATTGTGAGAGGCCCGCATACCACAAAAAAAACCCAAAAAAACCCCAGCAGGGTTGGTTGAAAGCCGGCTTAGGAATAGACCACCAAATCCCTGTCCTACTCTCATGCATCAGGTAACTTTTCCTTTTCTCCTGGCGGAAGACTAGAGGTATATTATTTGAAAAGGGCAAAATAGGACGGTTTTAGACTAGGGGGCCACCAAACATAGATGAAAGCATTAGACTTCCCTAGCAGTCCAGTGGTTAAGTCCATGCTCCCAATACAGGGGGCACAGGTTCGAGCCCTGGTTGGGGAATTAAGATCCTGCATGCCACACAGTGCGGCCAAAAAAATAAAAAAGTACTGTAGTGAAAGTGGCAGAATTAATTGAAAGTTTATATATTATAGATGTTGAAATTTCCAAACTTCTTGCTCTCTCCCCCACCCCCAGAAAAAGTACAGGAAAATAAAGCAATTGTAACAGTGGTTCTCCACTAGGGGCTATCTTCCCCCACGATATCTGGCAGTGTCTGGAGATATTGTGGTAAGTAGTGGGATGCTGTCATGTAGAAAGCTTTTTTATTCTCTTAAAACTTTCTATCATGTACACACATGCCTTTTCTTTGATTGCTTTTTTTCAGTTATCAAAATGAGTCATGTAAGCATGGAAATTATGAACCTTTTTGGTTTTCCTTTTATACCGTATTTTACTACATATTATAAAAAACAAAACTGTCATTTAAAATATATCTTTGGGGCACTTCCCTGCTGGTGCAGTGGGTAAGACTCTGCGATCCCAATGCAGGGGGCCCGGGTTTGATTCCTGGTCAGGGAACTAGATCCCACATGCATGCCGCAACTAAGGAGCCCGTGTGCCACAACTAAGGAGCCCACGTGCCACAACTAAGGAGCCTGAATGCCACAACTAAGACCTGGCACAACCAAATAAATAAATAAATAAATAAATAAAAAACATTTAAAATATATCTTTGGGAAACACAAAAAGTAAAAATTTTTACTTGGGGTTTACAAACTAAGGGTATATATTAATAACTCAATTCCCTTTCATTTTAATATAGTTCTAGAATTAATAAAATCAAAACAGATATTGCTCTTCCTCACAAGAACAAAACATTATGGACACATATTAGAGAGTTGTAAATCGTTAATGACAAATTATTATTATTATTATTTTTAAATAACATAATTTAAGTAGATTGTAGAATCTACTCTGGGGTACAAAGACACTATCAAAATAAGACATTTTGTTTCTCTCTGTCCGATCATTCCCATCATATCAGACATGTCAGTGGGTAAGGACCAGCTGGCTACTGGAGGGAGAAGGAAGTTAGTCCTAGCTTGGCCAGGCTGTTCACTTCTTTCTTTAGTAACACTTTTTTTTTTTCTTTTAAAGAAACATATATTCCTTCTTTAAGAAAGGAAGGAAGGAGGGGAGGATGGAAGGAGGAAAAGGCTTATTTGCTTTTCTAAACAATATAAATTACTACAGCAGAAAAAGTATATTTTGCTTTTTAGCTAGAGTCGTCTAATTGAGATATATACAAGTTTACTTCCTGTCTTTCCCTTTTCCAATTTTAAAAACCAACATTTTTCTGGATAGAATGACTTAAATGCCCAATACATTTAACCAACCAGTTATCATGAAAATTAGGCATAAGACTTTATATCTTCATATTTGTGGCTTATAAATATATTTAAGGTTTCCTTGTTAGTTTACTGATAATCTATAAATAATCTGGGTAAGTTGCTGAGATCTGTTACAAAGAACATCACTGAAAAATAAAAACACAATATAAAGCAAAATACCATTACTGTATAATTAAAACAGCTTCTGGATTTTCAAATGGCTGTCTTCACTATCAAATTTTGCTTACACCTGACAAAGCAGTTCTAGATTAATGGAACTGCAGTGCTGTTATGCTATTATAATTAAAACAAGACAAAACAGAGCTTGGATCAAGCTGAAAAATGACCTGTTTTAATTCTTCAATTTGTTCAGAATCTCTTGCTGAAGCTGTCGCTGAAGACTGTTCATTTGTGCCAGGTGATGGTTGGGACGATTTCTACAAAGAGCATAGAAATAAACTATGAAATAAATTCAGTTTAAAGAGACAGAAAAAAACCCCAAACTGTACATATATAAGCTATGTCTGGTATACGTTTACCAAAAAATTTCACATTGACATTTAAAATTTTATACTCAAAATAACATTTCAACATAGCACATACTGTCTACAAATTTTCCATAGCTAATAAATTTATACTCATGCCAAGTAATTTATTAAATCTAGGCACTTAACTGAGGTCATATGAAGAAAGAGCATAAAAGCAGGTATTTATTGAGTGATTTCCATGTATTAAAAGAACCTTATACAGGGCTTCTCTGGCGGCACAATGGTTAAGAATCTGCCTGCCAACGCAGGGGACATGGGTTTGAGCCCTGGTCCGGGAAGATCCCGCGGAGCACATCAGCCTGTGCACCACAGCTACTGATCCTGCACTCTAAAGTCCACGAACCACAACTACTGATCCCTCATGCCACAACTACTGAAGCCCATGCGCCTAGAGCCCGTGCTCCGTGACAAGAGAAGCCACCGCAATGAGAAGCGCGTGCACTGCAATGAAGACTAGCCCCTGCTCACTGCAACCAGAGAAAGCCCGCACACAGCAACAAAGACCCAATGCAGCCGAAAGTAAAAAAATAAAAAAATTTAAAGAAATGAATAAAATCTATCTTTAAAAAAAAATCAATAAAAGAGCTTTTAACAGAGTATCTCATTTAATTCTCACAGCAATGAGACAGGTATCACCACCACCATTTTATAGCTCAGGAAACAAGTTTAAAGAGATTAACTAAGTTGCTCAAATTCAGTTAGCTAAGAAGCACTGAAGCTTTAGACAGTCTGACACCAGAGCTCATATTCTAAAACCTTAATGTGATACTGTAGCTTAAGGGACCCAGAAAAATAAACAAGCTGGATAATGAGAATTATTCTTGACTTCTTGTTTAAAAAATGTCAACATTCACTTACCAAATTTTCAATGAAAGAGTCCTTTTCAGCCAGTTGGCTTTGTAAAAGTTCCTGATTACTTTTTAATTCTTCTATCTCTTCTCGCAACCTACCAATTTCTTCTGGCTGAATACCATTCATCTGAGCCCCATCACTGTAAGAACCTTGATGCTGATTGTCTTTTCCTATTAGACACGCATAAAATTTGAAAAGCCAGCACGAAATTTTTCATTTTTTGAATTGATTATTCAAGTATAAAATAAACACATACTTTCCTTAATAATTACTTTGGCAGGATTTTTGCAAGCACATTTCATCTTTGCAAAATAGTGGGGTTTTTTTGTTTGTTTGTTTTTTCCAGCCACACCATAGGTGTGGCATGTAGGATTTTAGTCCCCTGACCAGGGATCCCAATGCCCCCTACATTGGGAGCATGGAGTCTTAACCACTGGACTGCCAGGGAAGTTCTGAAAAACAGTGTATTGATAAAAATAATGATACTTTCAGGGTTTCTGGGAAGAAAAAGAGCATAGTCTTAAGACTAAACTGCATGGTTTAGTGATCTAAGATTAAGAATTACAGTAGTTTACCTCCTGCACTGTTGGTGGGAATGTAAGTTGATGCAGCCACTGTGGAGAACAGTATGGAGCTTCCTTAAAAAACTAAAAATAGAGCTACTGTATGACCCAGCAATCCCACTACTGGGCATATACCCTGAGAAAACCATAATTCAAAAAGAGTCATGTACCAAAATGTTCACTGCGGCTCTATTTACAATAGCCAGGACATGGAAGCAACCTAAGTGTCCATCAACAGATGAATGGATGAAGAAGATGTGGCACATATATACAATGGAATATTACTCAGCCATAAAAAGAAACGAAACTGAGCTATTTGTAGTGAGGTGGATGGACCTAGAGTCTGTCATACAGAGTGAAGTAAGTCAGAAAGAGAAAAACAAATACCATATGATATGGAATAAAAAAAAAAAAAAAGGTCATGAAGAACCTAGGGGCAAGACGGGAATAAAGACACAGACCTAACTAGAGAATGGACTTGAAGATATGGGGAGGGGGAAGGGTAAGCTGGGACAAAGTGAGAGAGTGGCATGGACATATATACACTACCAAACATAAAACAGATAGCTAGTGGGAAGCAGCCGCATAGCACAGGGAGATCAGCTCGGTGCTCTGTGACCCCCTAGAGGGGTGGGATAGGGAGGGTGGGAGGGAGACGCAAGAGGGAAGAGATATGGGGACATATGTATAACTGATTCACTTTGTTATAAAGCAGAAACTAACATACCATTGTAAAGCAATTATACTCCAATAAAGATGTTTTAAAAAAAAAAGAATTACAGTAGTTGAAATTCCAATTCTGTCAATTAATATAAGAGAAAATAAAATCCTTTTAAAAATCTTCACAGGGCACTTCCCTGGTGGTCCAGGGGCTAATACCCTGTGCTCCCAATGCAGGGGGCCCAGGTTCGACCCCTGGTCAGGGAACTAGATCCCACATGTCACAACTAAGAGTTCACACGCAGCAACTAAGACCTGGTGTGGCCAAATAAATAAATAAGTATTTCTAAAGAAACTTCACAAAGGAATAGCTTTCTATATGGACTAAAAGAACTGACAAATTATTGTCATAAATAGAGGAAGTAAGATATTTTCTTCTGAAAATTTTGGTCACCTTCATATAAATAAAATTAACTATATTTCTAAGTAGCTAGCATTCCAATTATAAGCAGTGTAGAATGAGACTATTTATAAGCATTTGAGCTCCTAGCATGTGCCAGGCACTGAACTAGAATTTTATATATATTATTTCATTTAATTCTCAGATGACACAGGTGCTACTATCAGCTCCATTTTGCAGATAAGAAAATGAAAAGGTTAGACCAGTCAACTGGCTGGCTCAACTGGCTAGACATTAGAATCACCTGGGGAGCTTGTAATTAATAATCACTGATGCCTGGACCCAACCCCCAACTAATTAAATTAGAAACCTCCGTGGGGTTTCAGTATTGGTGTTAAAAAAATAGAAATATCAGGGGATCGTAATGTATAGGTAGCTAAGGTTGAGAATCAATGGATCAGATAATCAAACACTGAGCAGAGAGCTTGGACTTCAAACTCTGACTTACATGTTTGTCACAGTGATTAATTTAAGGTTACAGAAAGACTAGTCCACAAGAATAATCTGTCTGACTTTGTCCAGCTCCTGGGGACACTACAACAGGAATGGCTAGCTACACTTACCTAGCTGTACTTTAAGAAGATTATACTGATCCTTGTGTTGCTGAATCTGAGATACTTGCTGTGTGACTGCTGTCTGGAGCTGTTCGTTTTGACACTTTAACGTAGAAATCTGCTGCTTCAATTCCTCAAGTTGCAGATCCTGTGAACCAAAACATAATTGAAGTGTTTTAAATTCAGACTAGTTAGCATTAAGAGGATGAACAAATTAAAAATTAGAGATTATTTTGGGTGAGGATGTTAAACTACTCAATATTTCCAAAAGCATTCTACAATTAAGCAATGACACATTAATATATGCACCAAAGCCAATTAACATGCAGCAGAACTGTAAGATTTCAAGGCCCCATTATATGGCGCAGTCTGCAATCTCACTGTAATTTTCGTTTGGGGGGTGGGGGGAGGTCAATTTTAAAAACTTCATTTTATGGTCCATCAAACTATTTAAGATATTATACCAAATTATTTAAGAAGCTTAGTATATGTATATATATGTATGTACCTGTTACTTTTAACATTAAAAGACAATCATATAACAGAACATTTAGAATTCTGAAAAAAACAGGTTTCATCTCTTATCACCCTAGTGTAGTATCTAGTTAGAATTTGATCTATGTCTTCATTTTCTTCTAATTCTTTCCAACCCAGGTTTTTAAAACTTGTCATAATCCGTCTACATACATTTTGTAACCTTTAATTTGCTTACTACTCAATCAAAATTTCCCAATATTAATCAGTAGATGCAATGTAATTTATACTCAAAAGCAACACTGAGGTTGCTCTCCATTTTTCTGAATGATAATATCATTACAATAAATATTTTAGTCCATATAACTGTTCTCCTGAATTTTGGAGAATTCCCTTAGGATGCATTATCAAATGTAATTCAAAGTTTATATAAACATTTTACAGCTCTCGATGCTTGTTGCCTAATTGTCAAATGGCATTCTAAGTGATGAGAATATTTAAAATTAACATTTCTAAAGAAAAGTGATTATAGTAATTGTGTCAAATCACTCTTTTCTTCTTCCAAATCAACCATATTTATCTGCTCCAAGTGCAAGCAAGCTATAATATCAAATTCCAAGTATTTATTTCCCATTGCTCTAAAAATTACATTTTACCATCTGGAAATGACTCCAAATTTGTACTAAGACAGATGAAAAATCCTAATAACCATGGGTAGTGTAATGATTCAAATTTGGATCATTCAAAGATGATTCTAATTTACTAATCTGCTTATAAACTGAAAAGCTCAGACTGAACGCTAAATACACCACTAGTATATATATATATATATATATATATATATATATATATATATATTTTTTTTTTTTTTTTTTTTTTTTTT